AAAGTAATAGTGAAAAGTGGGTGTTACATTGTACAGTGGCATAATGTGCACCTCTGCGTACCCTTTCGGGGATAAAAGGCGGGATGTTGTGTTATGTTATGTTATTAAGTAAGCATTAAGTTACGTAACTCGTAAGGTTACATTGAGTACGACTTTTTAAATGTTTATAAGTATTGTTTTAATAAATAATGGCTAGGTACGTTACAGACATGTAATTTATGCTGATAGTATTTTCCAAATACCCCAAGCACCGTAATTTATAAATAAAGTAGTGCCAATTTCCCGCACTCTAATGTATGTGGTTGACCTCATTAACACTCGTAATTCTCAATTAGAAAGGTCACGGGATAACTAATGGTCCTAATGAATAACTGCTTCAGGTTCCACAGACAACAAATGTTCTGCCGGCTGTCGCTAGCAGAGGGAGAGGGAACCGAATTAATAGCTAATGTGTTTTGGAACAAAGAGAAATAACCATTTAGTTACACAATGCCTAAATGAACCGTATTACCCAAAAAGAGTTTTAACTCGTAAATTTTCTCTTAGTATAGGCTGAATGATTTACGACCTTCGCATAAAATCATCTTCGCTTTATGGCACTTAGTTTTTGGAGCTCCTCACGAAGATTTAGGTGCTTTTCTTTTATTACCGTGCCGGAATTGCTTAGATAGAGAGTACCTATTCTCTGAGTACGTTCCCGAAAGCTCACAAATTGTTCGCGAAGTTATACATCATTGTAAGTTTCCCTAGCTTCAATTTGTACAGACCCTAGCAATTATTTAAATGTCTTGTTCAAACCTGCCGAATGAAAACCCCGAAAATTTGAATTGCGGAGGTCAGATCGCAGCCGTTTCCCTCATTTTAACTTTACAAAATTAATAATTAATTTGCAACCTAAACTTGCCCTAGAGGTTACTTGCTAACTGTGACATTGCGCTCTCTACAAGAAGGGCATGAATAAGTAATCAGTCTGTCACCCATTCCTTTAGTGCGCGATAATCTACACCTGTAGGTATCTTCGTAAGTGATTAGCGAGAGCGAGACGTTCGGCCCCTTTATCACCTAGCTAGGTCTTAAATTAAAATTGACACTACCAGATCATGAAAATGTATTTACACTATAGAAAGATATCTAGGTTCCTTCACTCACCTAAAGTTCTTCTTGTCCAAAAGGAAATGATAATGAATTTATATGACGTGTACATACATCGAAGTCAGTCTTAGTAAAGAGTTGTGTGTCTATAAGATTAAGTACTATTGTGACATACGTTTATAATAATCCAAAATCCTATTTTTTTATTTATTTATTTTATTTATTTATTTATTTCAGGCATCACAGGCCCATATCGAATACTATAAACTAATACATTAAAGATTTATAAATACTATACATACATTACAAACAAAATAATTACTCAATTAAGTACTTAATAACCTATGCACTCCAAAGATAAATAGTAGGTTACATCAAATGAGAATAAATAACAGAACTCCAACAAACTTAATCTCACTAAAAGTATTCAAATAATATAATACACAGCTGAAAAGCTAGGACGAACAAGCAGTGTAAATTAGCTCATAAAATAAGTTATTAAGTTGTCGAGGTTCGCGCGGGAAACGTTCCGGTAATGGCGTCGGCAGCGGAACGGAGGCCATGTAACAACCATAATTACTAGGAGATGATACATGCCCTACACTTGTTATGATTACATGTTATTTATCTTACGTATTATTTTGGCTCTAATAGAAGAAATGTAATAAGTAAAAAGTAGGTATAGTGGTACTAGTCTCAATAAAAAGTAATATCTCGTTTTTTTGTGATTCTCTCAAGAAATAAGTAGACGATTTAGGTGTCTCTATTTACAGTATACGTATATTTAGGTTAACACTGAGACTAGTATTACCACGAATTGATCGTACTGAACCGTAAAAATTAATTCTCTCCATTCCGTGTCCTGTTAGATGTCTAGCTTTTGCATCAAACATCTGATGGTTCTCGTTTTTAATTCCAGAGTCAAGACCGCCGCGGAAAAATTATAATCAATTATCATCAAATGAAAAACTGGACAACAGACAGACCGATGATGTTCACATCGAAGAAGCAGAAGCTGAATCAGACGCCAGTAGCACTGACTTGGATGAACGCGATACCGGAGGGGTTTGCCCACCGTGCGCGCATGACCGATATAATAACAACGTTCGTCGACACGCACATGATGACTTCAGTGATGACACAGATTACGGTAAGTTCATAATTTACTTTATTTCTAAAGGACCTGACTGTACTTGAATAAATAGGTAGTCATCGTGTTCGTCTCAATGGTCTCAATAGACTCGACATCAAACCGGAGCATGCGCGTCAGCGCCCAATCTGACAACTCAGTCTATGGTTTTTATGACAACTCGTCCGCTGTCAACGTTGTATTCTCGTAATTTGACGTTTGTTTCAACGAAAAGAAGGAAGTGGGCCGTGTTTTCACAATAACTACTTCGAGAATATTGTCGAAATCGTTTATTCCTGTGAATTAGTGTACTAAAAAGCTGCAAAACGGGACCAAACTTATATAATTAACAATGGCGAACCTGAAAACAGATTTAGATCAATACTTACTGAAGAATGAAAGTCGTCGGAGCTACAATTTTAGTTTACCATCGTTCTCTACTCCAAGTTTTATGACTCGGAGTACGGAAGAGAGCCCAAGTACTGCGAGCAGTACCGCTTCGTGGTTTGAAAATGTACAAAAGGAATATTTCACACTAGTAAGTAACTATGAGTTTCATAATTTTAATCTTATACGATATTATTATGAATCATACGAACAATACAATGCCATTACTCTTAATTACATCATTGTACAACGTTTCTATGAAGCTGCGTTCTTATCTTTTAATTTGGGTCATTGCTATGTATACCATGGCTCACTAACAAGTTATATTTTGCATGTTTTCATAGTATTTGCTTATATTCTCTCATTGTAAACATTATTAGCCATTAGCCAAAACAAAGAGACTGTCCTAGTGTCCTCATTACATGGAGCTCATATTATAGATAGATTTTTTGGTTGTTAAAAACAGCTGTTAAGAAATAATGAAAATAGTATGAAGGCAGACTAACACAGGGACACTTAATAGAAAGATAGATAATACATGAATATTTTGACTCAGCACTGACTTGTATTGTTTCAGAGTCATATACAGACCCTGTGTAAATCTGCTTTAATAGTAATTAGTGATGTACTGAAACTGAACTAATTCCAAATGTTTTATATTTCAGAGCAGAACACAGCGGTTTATGGGCTTTGGTATATGTTTATTCTTTGGAGTGCTATGTTTCATTCTATCATTCCTGTACATTCCCATACTGCTGCTGCAAGCTCGCAAGTTTGCACTGCTCTTCACTCTAGGCAGCATGTTCTTCATTATCAGGTAACTTCATACCTTTATTTGTTTGATAACTGTTCCAATAACAGAGATAAAAGTTATAGTCGAATAAAAAAGGACTTTTGCTAAGATAAACATATATAGTCAAATCTTTATGAGCATAGGTATTTTACTTGTTTAAAAAGTGTAAAATCAAGTAACTTCCAGTCAAACATTTTATTAATTCTGATTACATATAACTCATCGAGTTCATTATTACTGCCTCTAACCATTATCAAAAAACAGTTTCAGCTTCCTCTATGGGCCGTGGAATCACCTGAAGTCAATGTTCAGTAAGGAGAGGGCTCTCACTACCTCTCTGTATTTACTGACTCTGATAGCCACATTGTACTGTGCACTACACCTGCAAAGCACACCGTGGACTATAGTATGTGCAGTGCTGCAAGTCGTCGCCCTACTGTGGATGATGATGGGCTCCATCCCCGGAGGCTCCTCTGGCATGAGGTTCTTCGGAAGCATGTTCAAGTCATCAGTGTCCAACACCCTACCCATTTAACATTATACCTACACAAGAACTGCAATAATAATTAAGTTTTGATATGAATAATTAAGATGTTATTTTTATATTTGATAGAAAATAAAATGGTGATGTTTGAATGTACTCTAGTTAATCTGGTTACTCAGTTACTGTTTACTGTTGCCATTACTTCCAGTTACAATAATACTTAAAGTATGTTAAAGTAATATCTACTGCCTCATTGGTCTACTGGCTGCTAGCACTTTTGCTGATCATGAGATTACAGGTTTGACATTTTGAATCCCATGTTGGAGATAGTAGGATTTATGGAGCATTTGTCTAAGTGTAATGGTAGTCCTTTAAACTTTTTGGGGTGCTTTTGTATGAATAGAGTTTGACCATAAAATAATTCCAAATAACTATATTAATTCTTAAATAATATGAGGCTGGGACTATACCTGGGCATTATACTACTTTATAAAAATATTGGTTATCATTTAACATGACTGGCATCTAGCCAACAAAACAATAAATTGAATAAGATCCCACACTTTTTCTTTAACATAGGAATTTCAAATGATTCTTGGTGCTCCACTACAGTTCACTAGAGACCTGCTGCAAATTTCGGCTTTCTAGCTAATTTCTAACTTGTAAAGAAAATTTCAAATGTGTATAATCTAGGATTGAACTTATGAATATATATGGAAATTGTAAGTTTCTAATGTACCAGTTCATTAGGTCAATGTACTACTGCATTGCCCCAGTTCTGACTTACGAGGCCTTGTTTATGAAATTAGCAACTATTAGCATGCATGTAAGAATTTCCTTGTGGTAAATCGCGTGAGTACGTCTTTAATTAGTAATTTATGCTTTTATTTAGTTTAAATATATGTGTACTTTTGTTCCTATTTGGCAATTGTGGTGGTTCGTTAGTCAAAAATAATTATACATTTTAAAATAGTCACACTAACATTCATTGATTTTTTTATATCTACTTTTTATTCACTTATTTGATAGCTGTGAGAAAATAATGCGTTACTTAACTGACACTATAAAAATTAACTACGTAGATGGAACCATTCCCATTATTTAAGACAAATAACGAAATCTTTTTATAGTATAACTAATGAATTTTGCAATGTGATTAGAAACCTAAAAATATTATCTAATCTTCAAGATTGTTTTTATACTTAAGACTAATTTAAGACTTCAATAAAATTGGTGAAATGTACTTTGTACTATATAAGTACTCCATAATTAAAATTAAATATATTTTTGCCTTTTTTTATATTTATCTCAGTTAGAAATAGAATCTAATCTAAAATCTGTTTGCAACACTAATTTGTTTAGTTTTCAACATTCGCTTACTTGTAACTTGCTATATTTTTTATAAATAAGTATATATTTTTTTATATACTACATTTCATCGAATTGAGACCCTTGTAATCATCAGGTGTGATTGTACACCAATATGTCAGCCAACACAGCACATATCTGCATACATTCTGTGATATCTATTAATTAATAAAATACTTTTGTCAGCTGAACAACTTTATACTTGTATCAAAAACTTTAAGTATAGATAATTTTAGTGTTTTATTTAGTACCTATCTATCATACGATTATTATATTAATACTGCCTTGGTATTATTATAACAAGTACCTAACATTATTTGTCAATAATATACTTACGCGCTCAAACAATTTGAAACGTGATTACATACATACGATAAATATTTTTTGTAAAAAAACCTTTTACAATTTCAATTATACTTGGGATTTTTATTATTTTGTATTATTTACACCTTTTGTCGTGGACTGGACTATAAACATTCCTTCTTAGAATTCCATTCAAATATTATAATTATAAACAAACTTGGCTAACATTTGTTACAGCTGATCTTCATTGCCATACATAAACGTAGGTACCTACTTCTTGTATTTTAATTTAAAAAATCTGAACAATTGAAAAACTAAATGAACTAATGGACTAAAAAACAATAAACGTTCATTTGAGACATAATATTCACATAGGTACAAATTCAGATTCATTAAATACCGATGCATTCATAAACCTTTGTCCCATGAGTACCTACCTAGTCAGAATCTAGATCGCCACTTACATTATGTTTCAAATTCATTTTTTTTTTGCAAGAATATATATTTACAAAGGAAGATCTTACAGCCTCACAGTAATTGTATTCTGCCTGCGAGCAAGCGTGCAAAGTATAAATATTTCAAATTAAAGTCACCACAATAATTTTCATAATTACTATACAATATTTACGTTGATATCATAGTCATAGACATATTACATTTCAGTCGTAGATACATTACAGTCATACATTACAAAATAGTCGATTACAAAAAAAAAGAAAATATACGGTCGAATTGAGAACCTCCTCCTTTTTTTAACTAGATGGGTGCTTTTATCACGTACATGCATCTTGCATCTGGTTACCTATCTATGGCAACAAGTACTACAATAAAGTTATAATTCTATTGCAGATGAAGCTCTAACTTGCAATGTTTGCGACCGGTCGTTTCCAACGCGTCGCCAACTCGCAGACCACCAACAGAAGAAACGACATTTTGGGTATGTTTCGATGTTCGATGAGGTTCAGATTACGGCTCTACGCTATACTTATTTACTACGTTATTTTATTAAGTCCTATATATGTCTATATGTATATATATGTATCCTATATATGTCCTATATATGTCTGTCTGTGCCTCGTTGGCCGACTGGTCGCAAGTGCGACTGCCGGGCAAGGGATCTCGGGTTCGATTCCCGGGTCAGGCAAAGTATTACTGGGTTTTAATAAATTCTCAGTAGTAGCACGGAGTCTGGAATTGTGCACGGTATATGGCAATAGGCTCACCCCTATTACATGGGACTCATAACATCAATAGTGAAAAGTGGGTTACTTCTGTGTGCACCTCTGCCTACCCCTTCGGGGATAAAAAGCCGTGATGTTATGTTATGTCCTATATACTTAGTACTTCGAAACAAATATAATGTATTTAGTTGCAAGAATCCATTGCGTGAACGGATTGTGCCCCGAATATTTGTATTCCTTGTAAAGAATAAATAAATAATTACGAGTTACGACAAATTTTAACACAACTATCATATTTCAACAGATGCAGTGCGTGCGACAGCCTGTTTCCCTCGCTGATGGCTCTGGAGCATCACAAGGAAGAGTTCCAGCATTGGAGCGACTCCTCATACTGCTCGCATTCAGACTCCGATGACAGCGATCTGGAGACGTGCCACGAGGACAGGCATCGATTACTCTAATGCCACCACCTCATTATTGCCGGGGAAAAGCCCACTAAGTTGGGCACTTTTGTTTGAAAACTTCTGTACAATTCTTCTTATAAACAAGCGTGTAGCTAAATTCTAGACTTCTGAGGTACTTTGAATAATAATTATACTCTTTTAAAAAACGAAGTTAAGTTCGTTAACACTTTGGACTTGCCAAGTTTAAAAAGGTAAAAGTCAAACCACCGGCTTATGGCACCGGTGACTAACGTGACAATTTAAGGGTTATTATTAAGCTCTCTCTAAATAGTCATTTTTAGGTTTCTTTTATTTAATTTTCTATATTAGTTTTAGTGTATCTTTGAACATATTTTTTCCTTTCCTTAAATTGGTTAATTCCATTATCTAACTGCATTACATACTGTAAGCAATTAAATTCGGTTTTGCTAATACAGGCGTGAAGCAACTCGCAAAATGTAGTCGTACAGTATTTACCTATTCTCAGTCCAGATGAATTCGTTTATGATGTAGTGCAACTGCTAACTTAATCATTCTAGAACATGGTACACTAAAACTTTCGATTTTCTCAAAAACCAGCACTACATAATCTAAATGGCCCTTTGTATACTAACGTTATATGAAGACAGTTTTTGAGCTCACGTTATTTGGTTACCGGACCCGTTTAGCTACACGCTTGTCTCAAACGCAATGTTCTACACGATGTCACAATGATCTAAATAGTCTCATAAAGAGTAATGATAAAACAGTAGGCTGTAAAGGTATTAAAACTTCAATAAAGTCAGTAAAAAACGCATATATTTTATGCCATGAATCAAAATTATATCTGGGTCTTAAAAGATTCCAGCGTTTACTTAAAAAGTATACAATGTTTAATGAATTTACAAAAACAATGCTTTTCTCATAATAATAGTCACCAGTGACTTTCCAAAAGAATGTTATAATAGGAAATATTACAGTATTCCTAAGTATATAGTACTATATATACTGAAGCCTAATTATTGTACAGTGTAGACACATATCATTTTGTACAAGCATATGTACCTACTACGTAAAGGAGACGAACGATGTGAAGTGATTAGAAATACTTAATAATTTGGTGATTCCATGAAGAGTGTCTAAGAATAACTACATACATACTTATTTAGTCTAAGTACTTAAAACAAAGACAACCATTTTGAAGAAGACTTGGGTATTTAATATTATTGCACATAACGCAAACTATGTTTATAATTATCAAAAAGCAACTTTCTAAAGAAATCTACACTGTAATACATAGTACATTATTACATATGGATGATGCTATATCCGTACAACTGGACAATACCAATATTTTTGCTCCAGCGTTTGTCAATTTCGTTAACATCGACTACGAATCCTACGTAATCACTTAGATACGTTTTTTTTTTGTAGTTTCCTTTGCTGGAAAACAATTGGTTTACATAGCATAGACAAGTACTAACTCTAAAACAAGTAAAAAATCTGGAACATAGCAATGTAACGCTGTTTTTTTTATGTATTTATCGATTCGTAATAAGTAATGTCATATGATCATTCTAAACCTGAATCTGAAATAATATATTTTACTTTGTCATGTATTCTTGGAAGTTCTCGTGTTTAAATTAAGTAGGTAAGTTAGGATTCGATGTAATACATTAGAGGCCAGTTCACAAAACTAGTGCAGCAAATTATATCAGTAGCAAATGTAATGTATCCATGTTTATAATAGAATATTATCTCTACTTCGTACGTGGCCTAGTTTTGTGTACTTGCCATTTCTTTTCGCTTCACGTTAGTCACGTACTCCCGTCTCTTACCTGATGTCATATCTTTGTAAATACTTCCTAGTGATATCCCGGCAATAATGCATATCACGGTACTGTTATATGACTGATATTTAGTCTAGTTCTGTAAATATTTGTTAATAGGTCTGTGTCATAAGAATCACATTTAGAATTTTAAATTCTTAGTGTCACACCAAACTAAATATATGTATCCCGCCCCCTTCCTATCGAGGTACCTTTCGAGTTTAAAGTATTATTAATTTAAGAACTAAATGTAACATTCCAACTAGTCATACTATTTTTATAAAGTATTAAAATTGTATTTCAACATCATAATTATGTGTATATTGTAAAAAATTGTAAGGTCGCTACGCTCTGTAATTTAGACAGGGAGGAAACGACGGAACGAACTATTCGTACAAATAAAAATACGATTGAAAATATGTACAGAAATGTTTATTTTATAGGAAATCACATAACCACAGAGTACAGGCTACGAACACGTATGTACTGCGCTATGTCCGATCTCCCATAAAGGTACCGAAAGGCCGCGGTCGGCGCGTATCGTCCGGGAGCGACGTACACATCTTTAATTTTTCATATTATCGAGTAATCAGGAATACAAATCACGAATCTCTTACAAAAGCATAATACGAGTAAGTCTAGTGACGGCGGGCCCCCGGCGGCGGCGGGGGCCGCGCCATACATGTTACGTTACGTTAGGATAATTATATGCGCCGCGCGGGCGCGGCTGGCGTCACGTCAGGGCCGGCCGGGCCGGGGCCGGCCGGGGGCGCGGGGGCGCGGGCGGG